TCCACGGAGAGCACCGGCCAGCAACACCGCGGCTCCACGGAGAGCACTGGCCAGTAGCACTGCGTTACTCTGGTTTCAGCCCCAGCACTGAAACAATAACACTGCATTCTCTCCCTCATTGAGTGCAGTAGTAAAAATCATAACATTTCGTATACATATACTTATACATGTAAAGAAGAATTTAAGAACAAGAAGCCATACATTTTAGCGGGGTCATAGGAAAGACTGGAGACATGAACAAATATTTTAGTTGAAAATAAAATAAAAAACCAAAGCAAAACAAGACAGTTTATAGAGTAATAATATCATTTACATCCAGGTAGAGTTCTCGTAATCCCTAGAAGTTAAATGACAGAAAAATCTCACAGATGAATAATGGAGTGTGGCCAACCATGCCTCGTTGTTGCTAGTCCAGAAGTTTCCTGTTTTATCAAATATCCACAAATAGCAATCAAAAATAATTTAGTAAAGCACCAGTTTGAATGAGTTAAAAGAGTCATAGAGCCTAACTTGGTGTTAGTATCCTGTTTCAAAACCTAGATGACTCAGTGGACAGAACTGGTACTCATGCGACCTGACGACCTGAGTTCAATCCCAGAAATCAGGTCAAAAAGCCTGGCAGGCTGGTGCACGGTTGTAACCTTTGCTTTCCTTGGCCAGCAAGGTGGAAGGCAGGAAAAGGAGAAGTGAGCTGGGAGCAGGAGACGGGCGAACGGCACAGCAGCTCCCGGGACAGCCGGCTCGGAGTACAGAGCATAGGAGAGAGATCACCTCGGCAAGGTGGGAAGGCAAAAATCTCCAAATACAAAATACACATAGATATAGTGAAATGTATTTTTTAAAAATTTTAATTTTGGGGGCTGGAGAGGTGGCTCAGAGGGTAAGAGCACTGGCTGCTCTTCCAGAGGTCCCGAGTTCAATTCCCAGCAACCACATGGTGGCTCACAACCATCTGTAATGAGACCTGGTGCCTTCCTTGCCAGCAGTACATTGTATGCTTAATAAACAATTTAAAAAAAATTTTTTATTTTGTGTTGGTATTTGCCTGCATACGTGTCTGTCTGTGTGAGGGTGTCAGATCCTGCAGAACTAGAGTTACAGAGGGGCCATGTGATTGCTAGGGACTGAATACAAGTCCTCTGGAAGAGTAGTCAGTGCTCTTAATTACTGAGCCATCTCTCAGCCTCAAAATGCCTCTTTTTGAGGTGTGTCTCTTGGTCTCATGTGTCTGATGATGGCTTGAGTTTGTGCTATTCCCAACTCCACCCTGTGCTGACACTCTGAGCATATTGCCATTGTGCAAAGTGTACACAGTACTAGAAACTCACCCAGGTCCCTTTACCGACTGAGCCACGCCCTCAGCTCATGTGCAAGCTCTATAATAAGAATCAGTGTTTGTTGCTGTGAGTCTACAAAATTAGCAATGCTTTTCCACCACCTACCATTTTATCTCTAGTGTTTCCTTCATTATTATTTATCTTTTTAAATAGGGAGTACGGGGGGCTGGAGAGATGGCTCAGCGGTTAAGAGCATTACCTGCTCTTCCAAAGGTCCTGAGTTCAATTCCCAGCAACCATATGGTGGCTCACAACCATCTGTAATGAGGTCTGGTGCCCTCTTCTGGCCTGTAGGCATACATGCAGATAGAATATTATAGACAAAATAAATAAATAAATATTAAAAAAAATAAATAGGGAGTACGTTTATTCATCGTGTACAATGAGATTCACAGAAAAAAAGGAAGTGCCAAAGAAGGTTTGGTCTGGGAATATATACATCAGTTTAACAAAAGGCAGTTGTGGAAAAGTGATTAGATAAAGGAAAGGAAGTTGGGTTTTTAGGGGAGTTGGAGACGACAAGCGTTTGGGGGAGGCTAATGGAAGATGAGAACTTTGTAGCAACTTTGTAACCTGCATATTCAAGTTGATGTTGCTTACAGTGATGGGCCTTCCTCTCTTCTTGGTCAGGGAAACAGAAATAGCCACATGTAAGAAAACTTTCAAGGCAATTTAATTTTCATGGACTGCAGTTTGTGTTACAGTTACATGAGAAAACTTAAGCTGTACTTTTTTAGGAAGCGAGGGAGCAGGGAGCTCATTTTACACCTGTGGTGTCTTAATTGCCTTTAGCTCAAAATAATCTTTGTGCAAGTAGCATTAATTGTTTGTTTTAATTTTTTTGAGACAGGGTCACGGTTTAGCCTTCCGTTCTTGCTCCCCTGTCTCTTGGGAGCAAGCACTGAGACTACACATTCCTATTGTTCATCACTCATAGACTCAGTTTCATATTTGGGAGTGACATATTTGGATCCCTCTCACTAGCAAATACTGATACAATTTTATATTTGGTTTGTATGTTTATCATCCTTTAATTTGCAAGGATTTATTTTGTTTGCTCCTAACTCTACTTACATGTCTCATCTCTTGTCCTTTTCCTGAATTTTACAATAAAGCTTTTAAACAAAAAATAATCTAAAAATGAACTACATGAAAATGAATATGTGTGTGTGTAATGAAAAGTGTTGTATTGAAATCTGAGACCAGAGACTAACACATTCCAAAAAGAATATGAAATCTGAGGGCTAGTTGTGGTGATACACGCCTTTAATTCCAGCACTCAGGACATAGCGCAGAAGGACCTCTAAGACTTTGAGGCCAGCCTGGTCTATGAAGGGAGTTACAAGTTTGGCAGGGCTGGCTATTTAGTGAGATACTCTCTTAACAAAATCAAAAACCAAAAACCAAAACAAGCAATAGCAGCAGCAGCAGCAACAACAACAACAAGAACAACGAAGAAAACAAGAAAAGAAGAATATGAAGCCTGTAGTAACAATTTGGATTATGCCTTTA